AGAAATTTGAGAAATATGATATTTTTTCACCTTAATACTAGCTGTGTACTACCTTCGGTTGCCAACCAAGTTTAAGTTCCTTGTAAAATTGGGATACATTTGTTTCTGCTAGTTTGAAAGCCCACTTAAGGTCCTTTGAATTCATATCAGCTTTGGTGCGGCAATAAAACGTATAATTTTCGGTATTATATTGATACTGTAGTTCTCCTAAGTATAGAAGAGGATTCTTTACTTTTATTGCCTTTTCCACACATTTTTGCTGTTCTGCAGTTGTAGGTTCAATATTGGGCATATCGATTTGAGAGCAAAACGAAGGGCAGTAAATAAGATACTTTAAAACAGATTTTTATAAAACAATGCTTAAAAGCAAACAAAGTTATTATTGGGAAAGTATTTATATATCGAATTTAAATTCCTTGTTAACTTTTATGTAGTTTTATTCATTTGCTTAATAAATACTGCACTTTAAAAAGCAATAACGTAAAATAAGCGGGAATACTTATTATAGTGATGCCAGACTTATCACTACCTATAGATTTTTTAGCACTACATTTAAAAATTTTTTAATTTTTTTTAAATAAAAAATTCGCTTCTACAAAAGTTTTGTTACTGAACATAATAAATGTAAATACTGTAAAATAAATGAAATACTGAATATATGTTTTACATGATTAAGCAGACTAAACTGATTTAAATGTTTATATATATTAATTTATATACTTATTTAACATATATTATATGTTACAATATACATTTTGTTTACGTGATGTAATATTATTACCCAAATAAGGAACGCACAAGTTTTTTATATTATTAAAAGGAAAACATATGATTAGCAAGTAGCAACAAATTATTATACTGAAACCCCAAAAGAGAGTAATTTGATGTTATCGTGGTAAGATCACATGTATTCAATACGTGTGCCAAAATGTTATCAAAAATAAAGTTTCAAAAGCGATTTAAACTCTTGAAGTGTTCTTTGTAAGATATTCTTTGGTATGTAGTGTGTAGTTTCTTTTCAAAGTTTCTTTTCAGCGAATAACTTTTTTCTGAGTAAACTGTTAATACTTTCATAATAATAATTAGTTAATACTTGTTGTTAATAATAGCTTTACTGGGCATTTGGCAATTATTCACAGAAAATAGAAGGCAAAATTGAAAAAACTCAAAGAAGTTTGAGTAACAATTAAAAGGTGTCGAAAGGTACATCCACACCAAAGTAAACGCTTGCGAATGAACGAACTTATATGAACAATTAATAGAAATATGGGTAAGTGGAAAATTGCAGTTTATAACTTTTAAAAATTACGAATATATTTCTATTTTATGGGAACCAATAGATCAGGACTTGCAATGGGAATTTTCTGAAGAGGAGCTTATAAAACTTTGCCGTAACGTGCTCTGTCGTGTAAATATGACACGCTGAAATGCGGTAAATATTTGTTACGAAAGTTTACTAGAGCAGGGGTGATTCGAAAATAAATTTGTGAAGGCAAAAGAGGTAAATCGCTACAAAGATAAATGCGTTTATGAGGATGTTGATATTTTGCCAAAACAGAAATAGGAATGGAAACCAATAAAATAACGCAACATATTGCATTTGAAATATTTATGGATAATTTAACACATTTTAGTTATAATTATGTACAAAACTATTATTAAATAAATTGATTAAAAATTTACTCCGTCATTTTTAATGTTTTGAATAGATTTTCCTTTCCAATTCTTCTAAGATCGTAAAAAATTCTACGATATTAAGCCAGTTGCAGAGAATCTCGACCAAAAGGAGATTAACTTTTGTATGGGAAATCTGAGATTAAATAACGAAATTAGTACTTAAATTTCGATTATTACTTCAATTTACTTTTAATTTCACAATGTAAACGCCGTATTAAAAGTATTTTTAGACTTTTTGTAATCAGTTTTTTTTGGATTTAATCATTTTCCTTTCATTTCTAATTTTCTGTAGCCAAACATAATTTTTGTAAATATTAAAATATTAAATAGCGAACATGTTTCATAAAAATTTATTCAGTTCTATTTATTTATATAGATATCAAAACAAAATGCGTTTTTCATTTTAAAAGATTTATTTTACACAATATCGAAATATTTCTTTGCATTTTATTTGTAAACAAAAGAAAGTTTTTTAACGTCTTTTTGGCATATAAATGTATATCAGCTGCACAAATGAGCTCATTATAATGTGAACGTTTTCTCATTTATATAAATGAGCAAGTGCCGAAATAAGACAGTGTGAATGTAGTATAAAAGAGAATTACATCATCATATTTATTAAAGTATTTATATATTAATAATATAAAGAAACCACAACTACAATAAAACACTAAAATAGTTATATATCAGCATTAGAACGATTAAGTATACATATAAAAATATTGAACGATAAGTATATATATATAAAAATATTGAACGATAAGTATATAATTAATTCTATTTATACAATAAATATATTAGTAATATCGATTAAGGAAAAAAACACTGCAGTCTACTGTAACAATATATATGTTTATATATATATATATATATAATTGCTGTTATAATCGCTGTAATTCTAACAAACGTCCGTATTTTCAAAAATTTCGTTAAATACTCCAGAAATTTCGTTCAACATATCAGTAGCAAGCATGCCACGTCTATGTTTCTGATAAGCTTTGTAATTACATTGTTTTACAAGGTAGCTAGCAGCAAAGGCAGCTAAAAATCCCGGATTTGATTGGTTAGATTCTAAACACCAATGAAAAAATATAGCCAACGAGCCACATAACAAGTCTCCTTGTCCACCGCATCTACGACCTGAGCCACCAGTAGGCATTGTATATATTTCACCTGTAATGAATTTGTTGTATTGAATTCAAAAATAAACATTTTTAACATACCTGTGCTCGGCAAATGTATTTTATCGACCATACCTTTTTCTAAAACAATTACACCTCGGCCTAATCTATTAGTATATTTAATTCATTTTAATTTATTTAAAAACATTTATACTGTGCATACTTGGACATTTTTTGTTTTTTCTCTATATCATTATTGCTAAATAGGCGTTGAAACTCTATGGCATTTGGAGTTAATATAATATTGCGTTGACCACTAATTATATCAATATTTTCATTTAATAAAAACAAACCATCAGCATCAATTATCAGTGGTTTATTTATTTTGAGGCACATATTGATCAGGTTTATAACAGTCTTACAAATATTTGGATCCCTGCCAAGGCCTGGCCCGACAACCTAAAATTTAACGATTATTTTACATTGTTAAAACAAATTTAAAAAACATACCAATACATGCAACCGTTCTAGCCAAGGTTCAATTTTTTGCAATGCATCGTCAACATCCAGCAGAGGATGCACAATCAATTCTGGACTATATGATTTAATACAAGCAGCCGCTTCTCTCGAACAAAATACGTGCGCTAAGTCTGCACCAACTTTCAGGGAGGTATATGCTGCAAAGTAGGGTGCACCAGTATACTCCAATGAACCTAAAAAATATTTATACATATATACTATAATTAAAATGAATTAAAAAATAATGAACCTCCAATAATTCCAATGCGGCCATATTGACCTTTATGTCTATTGTCATTTAACTTTGGCACTATTGTAGTTTTAGTTAATTGTATTAGCTTATTAGTTTGCACTGGAATTTCTATAAAGTTAGACATCGTTCGATACGGATGTGCAACTGCCTTAATCGTAAACCGGAGCAACAAATTATTCATTTGTCTAAATTATTAAATGCAGTAAATAAATTTTCACCACCTTTAGGCAGCCCATACAGTATCCCCACAGAAATGCAAGAAAATTTTTAGTTGTAATTTAATATTAGCTTTTCTCTGAAAAATGTTTAAGATACATCAAATTTATAAATCATTAAATAGAAATAGCAAAATATAAAAAATTTCAGTAAAATATAAGTAATTTTAAAGTTTTCTTTATCTGCAAATAAAAATGTTTATTTTTATAATAGTAATTAGTATATTAACGTTATAGCTTAAAATTCCTTCTATTTTATAGCACATATTTATTTTGTTACAAATATAATAGTATGTTAGCTTACCATCACTTACTTAGTAAGTGTAATTTACTAAGTAAATTTCGAAGAGCTTCTTCGACCTTCTTCGCTTTTTAACTTACTTAAAAATATAGTAAGGAAAATTAGACCAAATTGTAAAATGCAACGCTTAAAAATAAATTTCCCACAAAGGAAATTACCAAAATTTGATATATTTATCATATGTTTTATATGTAAAATTTAAACAAACAACAGCTGAGTTATAAACAAACGCACTCAAGAAGTAAATTTTTAATAAAATTTTTGTTTTAATTAATTAAGGACGTGTGCGAGTTAAGCTAAGTTGAGTTCTAAATGAGGGAAATTCTAAGTTGTGCCGATAATGTAGTGATGTTTCGATACGTGTTGATAAATGGCTAAATGTGTGCAGTGCAAAAAATCCCAAAAAATCTCCCATTTGGTTTAGCATTAACTTAGCCTGATTCGCACATGTCCTAAATATGTATTACATCTGACACATAAAAACTCTTTCATATGCAATAACTAACTTATGTCAATGGAAACGACAAAATCTTCATGTTCCTCGAGTAACTTACTAAGTAAGCAATCAAAAATGGTATAAAAGAGTTAAACATTTTGTTCTAAATATTGTCATTATTTAAAACAATTAGCTACAGTTGATAGTAGCTGTGGATGTCCTTTTCATAACAAAGAAGGTGCTTGCTGATATAAATATAATAGAGTTTTAGGTTAATTTCGTCATTATCTCTCTTTGTGTTAAACATATTGATGGGGAGTTTTAAGGAAATAAATATAGCTTCGCTTTAAGCTGATCATTAAAAGCATTTATATATGTGTTTTCATTGGGCTGAGTATAAACATCGAAGCATCAAAGTAGATATAGTAATTATACCTTAAAACCTTTCAGAGGTACAGGTAAAATTAGAAGAGAGTTTTTAGCGAACTGCATTATGATCATCCCAACCTTTGATTTTCATTGTTGAATGATTTGAATTTAGAACTTTTTGTCTAGGTGCTAAGTTTAAGTCGCCGCTGTCTAGACATCGAATAGAATGGATACTATATCGAATACTAATTTTCACATTTAAGCTAATAATAACATATGAAGGAACCAAATTAAAGATATTCAAAATCTATAAAATACAATGTCCAGAAAATTACCATTATATTGTAATTATAAAATGAGTGTATAACAAACCTTCAATCAATTTTAGTTGATGAGTTTTGAATAATATATATATAATATTTATTTATTTATTTTAGGCACTTAGTTGAGATATATGACTGTATGAAGTTGTATTTACAGCAAAGCCAACGCTTGTGAACGAACGAACTTTTGCAGGTACGATTACCTGCGAATATTTGTTCGTTCGCAAGAATTCGCTTTGGAGAGGATGCACCTTGATTTAACGTAATATATAGGGATAACAAAATTATTGAAAAATCTGCAGGACAAACTGTCACGATTTTTTAAAATAAATTATACTTAATGTATGTTCATGCTATTTCGGTACGGTGTGTTCGGCGGTAACAGTGGGATATTACAGAAGTATTTCATACGACTTAAAATATCGCTTGCTACAGTATTCCATACAACTGGACTGCAATGACTGTAGTTTGAACGTGCATAAAGTATATATCTGTTGTATATTTATTTCTTGTTAAGAAGCACCGCAATGTACCTACTGCATATCTTAATTACAAATGCACCTTCTGGATTGTGTTAAATTTTATATTACTCATTAATTAATTTATAAATTAATTTCATTAAACTTAATTCTTCACTAAATATATGATTTTAGTTAACATATTTTCAAAGATCGCTGGTGATGAATGTTTGGCGGAATCCGAATCAACTACATGGTTTGTCCATGAATTCGCATAATCATTGCCCCCTTTTTTATTCGATACAGTTTTATTCATAAAATGTACAAATTGTTTTTCATTGTACAGATTTTGCAATATTTGCTGTTTCTTATTTCGCTGTTTATCGATTGAGTTTTCGCAATGTAAACATTTAATAATATAGTATAGAATTTAACAAGTATAATGGGATTTTCATTCGTTTATTTGCCAATTCTTACATAGATATCTTTTTCGTTCCTCTTTGTCTTTTTTTTTGTGCTCTTATGAAGCACCTCGACTTTTGTTCATAATAATGTATGTATGATTACCTGCGTAAATGTGTTAAGTTTGTAATTGAAATAAATTCAATTTATTGCGACAAATCATACACAATCTTATACTATGTTCAGACAGTTAAATTTCGTAATTTCGTAAAAATGAAATTAAGTTAATTTCAAAAGTGTTCATATTGCCCTAAATTAAAGAAATCATATATTTTTTGTTTATAAATCGAATGCTCAGAACACCATTTGTAAGTGGGAAATTTTAAAAGTTGATTATTATAACTATAAGGGTGGAATTTAATAGTTTTAGTAGGTTTAGTGGATTTCAGGTATGTGAATTATTATTTTTCACTCCATTTTAAATTAATAACAGTTACAGTTTTTTCTCTACATTCAAATTGAAAAATTTACAATACTCTCAAAATATTTTCCAGAGTCATTTTTTAGAGTCAACTGTTACTGACATTAATTTGGGGCGGAATAAACACTTTCGAAATTAACTTAATTTCATTTTTACGAAATTAAGGAACTTTGGGTGTCTGAACATAGAATTATTGTATCATATACCACATCATAGGAAATCTAACTTGCAGGAATGGTCGGGTTCAATTCAAAGAAGATTTCTGTCTGGCAGCACTTGTAATAAAATGTCAATCTGAAACAACGCGACGACACAAACAGAAAAATAGACAATACTGGCTACGAAGTCGAGAAGTGTGAAAAAGCGCGAAAGTGGCAATTTTATATTATTTCTATAAGAATTAATAAAAATTTATTAAGAAAAGATCAGTTGTGCTGATAAGTAATAATCAAAATAAATGAATTTTATTGTTCAAATTGAAATACATTTCGTGTTAATTTAAAATATTAATTTTGTACGGACGCTCTTATGGATTGATTATATATGTAGTTATTTTCCTGCAAGTTTTCTATGCATTAGAAAAGAATAAGTTTAATTTAAGAGTATATATATAGTAAATTTTATAATGCCAATTTGTAAGCGTGACTTTGGAAATAATCCTCCCAAAAGCAATGACACTTTTCATGACAACGAAGAAGTTTTTTTCTGCGAGGTAACAAAAGAGATCTTCCGGGAATATGAGTAAGTACTTATAGAGCGTGTTCACGAATAAAAAAAAAAGTTTTACAGAAATTATTAACTAAATTTTCATTTGTATTGTCAAATATATATTTTTGTTGATTTGCAAAAAAGGCATACATCTTTAAGCTGGTGCACCTCTTTTATATTCTCTCTTTCGTCATATTCTTCTCGCTCCTTACCACCATTAATTGTTGGTTATAATGCTCATTTTATGCTTAAAGTGCGTTAAAATGCATTGCGGCAAGCGCGGGATGCTTCGACATACAGCTGCTACTTTTAAGAGTTGCCAACCACACTCGTAAATAATAAAACCTATTCATATGTTGTATATTACATTAAACACGACTTACACATAAGATTAATTATCTCTTTATTTTTTTTGGACAAGACATTTACAACAAATTAATACTTATTGTTTACAATAATAAAAATAATTTTTTAATATGGAAGCGTATTTTCGTTCCATTGTATACATGCATTGCATATGTTTTAAGAAAATCACGACTAGCTTAAACAAACTCTTTGCATTCCAGCATAGTTTGCTATGGAAAGTAATTTTTATTAAATCTTTCATTACGATTTTATTCAAAACAAAACGAATATATTCGACTATTTTGTTTTCTCACTAAGTGAATACTGTATCTTTATCTATCATTAATAAGATAATGTCACCTTATGTTATGTGGAAAATTCCTATACATACATAAAATTATTTGAAGTGTAATGTCAAAGGTATTATATTATAATTGCTATAATCTTTTAGCAATTTGTATAATGTGGCTTCTACATTCCGCCAAATTCCATTTCATCTTTTACTCTTTTTAATTTTTTTCCAATTCTTTTGCCATTCATAAGTTTTGAACACAATTTTCCAACTGCTCTCCATAATTTGTTTTGGTGTCACTTAGGACATTCGAATCACCGAGTAACTACCTTTTGTTTATATAAAAAAATTATTTTTCGATTACCATTTACATCAGTTTTTATATAGAATTTTATATATTCCACAGAGATTACTTCAGACATGTAATGATGATCAACTCGACAGTTTGGCAATGTGAGGCCACTGGTCGAGAAAACCTAACATATGCAGAAGCTCTGAAAAGTGAGCGCAAATATAGAAGAAAAATGGAACAATTTAAAGATAGTTTGCGCCCTGTTGTAATGCTAGTAATTGAGGAGGCAAAACAATCCTCTATTGGATCACTTCATTCGATATTGTCGAAGTTTTTAAGAAGAAGATTCTTTTTAAATGAAGAAATTTCAATCTATAATAAATCAAGTGATGCATATAAAGTTATAGAAATTATCCCGCCAAAGGGGACACCACCTGAAAATGGTGTGTATGATGATACTGAAGAAATTCAATATAGGGTAAAACGGATAAAGCAACCTCACACAGAAACTGTAGTTCCATTTAAAAGCGTACGTCGTCAACAGTTTGAACTAACATCAGAAAATTTACATATGTTTATTCGAAATAATGTTAGTCGAATAGAAGGAATATTACGACCTAATCCAGAGTCTTATAAAACTTATATTATAGATCGAAAAATTATATTTTCTTCAATATTCATTGGTAAAATGCCATACTTTACACCGGCTAAGATAAAAAAACCTAATGAAGAAAACAACAAAAAGCAAGCATCGATAAGTAATTATTTAATCAAAGATGAGAAGAATAAAAAGTCAATTCTCGATGAACAAGCAAGGATTGAAAGGGAAAGAATGGAAATAATTGAGGCAAAAGCGAAGCTTTTAAAGGAAGAGAAAGAACGTGAGAGACTAGAAAAACGTGCTAAACTTATGGAAAAAATAGAAGAGGAATGTACGGAACTTTTAGTAAAGACAGACGATTTAGAAAGGAAAGATCAGCGTTTGTTACCAAAATTCACACCCATTACAACCATTATTCCGAATAAACTTTTGGGTGATGCTTTTATGTTACGAGAATTTATGCATACATTTTCTGGTATCCTTTCTGGCGCTGAGGTATTTCGCGGCAACTTAAATTTTATGGAAATGTCTCGTGCATTCACGGCACGTGAAGTGGCAGGACCACTGTCAGATATATTGCTGGTACTAATAGGGACTATTTTTGATTTGCAAAAGGAAGAAGAAGAAGATTGTGCTGTGGAATATATTATACAACATCAAAAAACCTTGAATAATCAGGAACCGTTAGTGAGCATGTCGGAGGCAAGTAGAACACATATCTACTCAAAGAGACATTTTTCATTTAAGATTAATGAATTGCCTCTTGACTCTCTTACGGTATCTGAAGTACTTCGTCTACATATCTTGTCGTCTGGAGCATTTGTTAAAGAAAGAGCTGAGAAATGGCGTATAGCATATCGCAATGGTTATAGCAACTCTGAAGATCCAGGATTAATACTTCGGTTACGGTTTCCACATATTTTAAGAGCTCTAAATATGTACACCGTTTATCATTTACCTTTTGCAGATATAATGCGAGTTATAAACTGCCTTATGTCTCAAATATTAACTTATTCGAGCACTATAAATTTAATTGAAGAGCGCATGGAACAAATGGCAAAAGCTCGATCAGAATTACGTATGCTCTCAATTAAAGAAAATAAACGACAAACTAAAGTTCAGTTAGATAAACGCGAACTGATAGTTAAACACAATCAGCAGTTTTTGGAGCAAAATGATAAAAATGAGAACCAGAGAAAAGAACTAGAAGAAAAACTGAATAAGAAAATAGCAGAATTGTTAGCGCAGTCGGAAAGAGAGCATAGAAAACATGAACAAGAAGTGGAAGAGTTAAACACAGCGCTTTTCAATTTTTTGGTATATTTAGGAATGGATAGAGCTTACCGAAAATATTACGTGCTTGAATCAATGCCTGGAATATTTGTAGAACATAATCCAGATTGTATGGATACTTGCCTAAGTAATCCACCAGTAAATAATATAAATCCATTAATTTCATCAAATTATCCTCGAAATCGAAAGGATTTACGTGCGTATCTTCTTAAAATTTACACTGATGACGAAAAAAAAAATTTACAAATACAAAAAGGAGCATTACAAAGTAAACTAAAAGCCCCAGTGTCACAAGAAAATAAAGAAAATAGCCAAAATGGTCTACTTAATGGTTTAAGTAATGGTTATGATAAAATGAATGAAAGTAATGGTGTTGAGCAGTTGGAAAATGAATCGCCTGTTGAAGTGAATGGGGAAGAAGTTAAACCGCCCACTCAGTATGAACTTTATATGTGTACTGGAGATCCACATAATTGCATTGTGCATGACGCTCGTAATGCTGATAGGGTGCGTTGGACTTATTTGTATGAAGAAGACGATATTCAGGTCCTCATAGACACACTAAATCCGTTAGGTGAACGCGAATTCCAGTTACGTGAACAATTAAAAGTATTGCGGACACTTATTTTGAATCATGTTAAAAAATGTCCAGTAGATGTTCTTTCAGTTGATTCGAAGCAAATGGTTAAAACTAAAAATATAATGGGTCTTGAAACACATCGCAAGTACGGAAAAGCAAATTTTGGATATAGCGAATCTTTTAGTCTTAACGAAGTTATGTATGGAAAGCTTGTGGAGAACATTTTACAATTTGAGAGTGAAATTTATACAGGTGATCTGGGACGTCTAAAAGTAAAAGATATGATTAAATGGCGTTCTGATGTAGAAAACAATTCGTATGATCCGCAAGGGAAGTTGCAATGGGGTCCAACTGAGCAAAGGCTGGGCACAGGTGGTAATGGTGGAGAAGCCGAAAATGATTCACGTACTGATGAAGAATCGGAAAATGAAGCTGACTTAAAAGAGGGTGGAAAATTCGCTAATAAACCATATATGGATCCCGGTCGTCGTTTGGGTAATACGATGGAAATCGATTCAGAAGATAGTGATGATGAAGAAATTTCCTTACATGACTCAGAAACACTACGCACATGTGTTAAAAACTTAGCTTCGGCATTGTTGCAAGTTGAGCAAGCTATTGAAAGACGTTTTATTAAGGAACCATTCGGCGCGCCTATCCGAGAATTGAAGGATAAAATTTTGTTAGAACGCAAGATTAAAGCGGGAGCTGATGCACTAAAACAATGGGAAGTTTCACTTATGGAAAGCACAAGCTATTCACAGGTGTATTTGCATTTGAATATATTACATGACTCAATATTGTGGGTTCGCTCCACAAATAAATCATATTGCCAGGTCTGCAGGCGTGGTAGCGATCCCGAAAAGATGCTATTATGTGACGAATGCAATGGCGGTACACATATGTTTTGTATGAAACCAAAAATGAAGACAGTACCGGAAGGTGATTGGTATTGTGCTCGCTGCGTTAAACGTTTAGGATTACAAAATGAAGACGATAAGAAAAAAGATAAAAAGAAACGTAAAAGTACATTTGTGGTTGATGAAGAGGCTTGTAGTGATATGTCATCAGATTTCTTAAATTCAAAAGAAAACGTGAAAACAAAGGAGAAGCAACTGAATGGGGATAAACGCACAAAAAAACGTTTGCCAACAAATGAAATCGAAGAAATAATTGAAGAGGAAGATGAGAATGAAATTGATGAAAAAGATGAAGATGAAGAAGTGGAGGATGTACAGGAATATGATCTAGATGATAGTATATCAACTGGAGAGGTTGATGAGTCGAGAAATAAAACTGTAGAGGACACTTCAAGTGAAGAGTAAGTATATACACTATTATAGAATTTTTACGATGTAATACAAATTTGAATTTATTTACAGGGATGACAATGTCTGCATAATTTGCTCATATGATGGCGGAGATTTGTTTTGCAATCAATGCAAAGATGTTTTCCATTTGGAATGTGCTAACTTGAAACGACCACCACGGTATAATTTTTTGTGTCCCAAATGTAAAAATAAGGAATCACGGAAACGAAAAGTTGTTAATGGTAAGAATGCAAAACAATGTATGTTAAGTATATTAAAATTAAATTCAATTATGAAAATTATAATAACTAACTTTATGCTGGGTACTGGGTACTGGGTTTACACAATTTAAATTTCACATTTCGATTTAGATTTTATTTTATATTGAAATTTTTTTTGTAAATTTAAATACAACTCTAGATAACAATTCAACTGATGAAGATAGCGAAGAAAGTGATGAAGAACCATTAATAAAACGATCACGTCAGTCACGTGGTTCACTACAAAATTCATTGCCAAATGGAAATAACAATCAGGAAAAAAGCAGTGGTCGTAGATCACATCGGCGAACAGGAGACAACTTGCCACTTAATAGTTCAGCGTTATATGAACTATTGGAAGGTATAATGAAACATGAGTTTGCTTGGCCATTTTTACGACCAGTTTCCCAATCTGAGGTTCCAGATTACTATAAAATTATTAAAAATCCTATGGATTTCGCTAAAGTAAAATCTAAGCTCAACATGGGAAAATACCAGATAAATGAAGAAGTTATGAATGATATACAACTAATTTTTAACAATTGCGATCAGTACAATGTAAAAGGAAACGAAATCTATCAGTAAGTGAAAAAAATTGTTTTCATCCATTGGATTTTTAATGTAAAAATTATATTCTTTGTAGAGCTGGCTTCGATTTGGAGAAATATGTCATCGAAAGATGTAGAGAATTGCATTTGCCATTCAAGTCAAGCGATATGAATGAATAAATTATAGAATAGTTATGTCGATAACATATGATGATTCACACCGCTTCAACTTAATATAGAATTTTATTTTGTAAATTTAGTTTAACATTACAATAAGTCTTGTCTTTAGTTATTACTCATACTTTATTTTTAAATCCTATAAATTCTATATTATAAATTACCTGTTAATGCTTGCTAAATGTACGTAAACTTAGAACGAAATTGTTGTCCAGTTTGTAATTTGTGGATATAAAATGTATTTTGCTATTATGTTTAATATCAACATTTTTAATTCAACTTTATTTTAATGTAAACTCTTTTTACTCAGTTTTACATATAGTTTTAGGAACAAAATTGTTTCTTATACTTAGTGCATTCACATTAAGATTATTAAAATTTAAATATTCCAAATGAAATTAATTTATAATTGTATAAGTAAAAAAGGAATAAAATGAAATTTCATCAATTTTGAAATCCATTCTTTTGTGTTTGCAAATGTGTTTGAAAAGATGTTAACATGGAATTACAATGACGTTGACATTATTTTAAGGATTTATGAGAAGTATGTAACGATTTAAGCGAAAAGGGCATCTCGTCAATTGTCTGTGCAATTTTAATATATCACTTTAAAATTTTTTGCCAATCCTTCAACTGATTTGTAGTTAATCAAGTATTAAATGTTTTTATAGTTTGATTTAAATATATGTTGTCTTCTAATGATGTGTTTAATTCACTACAGCTCAAGAATTCACTAGTTAAAAATTGAAAAATGTTTTGGCGATTTCCCCATTAACCTTTTTTCATTCGAAAGATTTTTCTTGTGAAAGGACGAAACTAATTTTTATTTAGAAATTGCGTTTTAACTATATTTATTTTCATTGTCTTGTTAGACTAAACCAGTTTGTGAATTTTGACCTAACATTATTCTGATAAATTCAGATAATTCAGATATATATCTAAAAAACTTTTAAAATTTGAATGCAAAATGTGTTTTCTAATTGTCGAATATACTGAAACAAACAACTAATAATGCAAAAAATCATTTAAATTATTTTTAAATCATTTATTTTGTTGATTAATATTTTTGTAGTTGATTAGTTCATTTAAACCACATATAAGAAGAACGCTTAAAAACTTAAATCTTAAAATGAACATTTTGCTACGAGATAGATATTTATAAATATGTAAATAGGGCTAAAAAATTGATAACATAATATGGATGTGGTATATATATATGTTGTTTAAATAATTAATACAAGATATATAATATGCAAAAAACGTATGAATACATATAAACTAAAACTTATTCACTATCAGACTCTTGAATATTGTTTTTACGGTAGCAGCGGGCTTTAATGCGACTTTGTCGGTGCGGGCGTTTCATAGCAGTATGTTTTCTATTTTCACTATGCGAATAGCTAACATTATTGTTAGCTGAGTTTATGCTAGTAATATTTTGAATATCCGCAGTCGATTTACTAACTCCAGCGTTACTTGCTGCAAACCTCTGCTCGTTGTTTCGATTAAAAGAATTTCCTAATTTTAACTTTTTTGCGGGTATACGTTTTGTGTTATCTGTATATTACACTTTTAAAAAATATATATTAAAAGTGAGCAATAATTATACCTTTAGTGACAATGCCAGTACTTGTAGTTGGAGGTTCCTCAACGATTGTATCATTATTAAGCGGAAGAGAGTTGTTACATTGTTTATTAACGTTATCTGAAAGGTACATAAATCAATTATGAACTCGTAGATTTGTGAATGAATATGCATATATATTTATGCAAAGGAAATTACCATCAGATGTATTTTTTTTGTGTTTTTTGAGTCTTTTTAAAGTGGCACTGCCAAATGATGCATGTTTAATTGCCTTTTGACGAAGCGTTTCTCGCTTGGTGGCAATTAGATATGTTATACGATTTGATTTTTCGTTCTCAACTGACGAAAAACTGTAACCCGTATCTGTTGATGATGAATCTTCAGATGAAGATGAAGCAGTCCCCCATTGTTCAATTTCCTGTTGTACCAAATTATCAAAAAATGCCAACATTCGCGGATCTTCTCTAGTTGTATTATTATTAGGATTATTAACCAGTACACCCATATCTGGTATGTTTCCACAACGATAAATAGGACGAGGGTCATCTGAACAAGAAGCTCTTTTGAGCAATGAACCAGACCAATTACTTTGCTGAAATGGACTCCAAATCTAAATGTTTTATATACAATTATTGCATTCAACAGCTCCATTATTAAAATTAAAACTAAAAAACTATAAAACACCTTTATGGATTTATCAACTCCTGAGGAAGCTATAAGACATTTTTCACGGTTATATCGTACTTGATTAACAATAGATCGGTGACCATATAAAACCATTTGTGGGTTTTCAACCCATTGATTTACACCTTCCACTAAAACAAAATAATAATATTTGCACTACTCAAATGATCGCCTATTTACCATCAATATCGGTTAAACGCCATGCATATAAGTTGAAGTCGTCTGAACCGGACATAATTAGCTCATCATCTGTTCCTGCAAATGTACAGCTTTTCATTGTGCACGAATTATAATATGTTTTACTGTAAAAAGTGCAAACAGGTATTGGAGAATTTTTGTTATACAGTATTGGTGGGAGACGACGAGACAATGATAAAACTAAAGTGCCATTATAGTTAAACCGTACACTCATGCAACTCGTTGATTTCTCTTCTTTACCATATTGCAAAACAGCACTGAAATAAAAATAATTATTATTTATGCTATTGTTCATCATTTATTCTATTCATATGTTAGTACTTATTGGGTTTACGAAGATCCCATAGAGCAGAACCTTTTGTAGAATTTGCACTTATTAGAAAATTGCTATCAATAGGATGGTACTCCACCGCATGTATTGAGGCCGATAGAGATGCCAAAACAAATGGATCGTCATTTTGTCGTTGATCATATATTAGGACTTGACCATCTTCACAAGCACTTGCAAAAATGTGTTCACATTTTGGATCAACACAAAGTCCATATACTGGCTTTTCAAGTATAAAAACTTTATCCAACTTTGTGCTGTAGCAATAATGATATAAAAATAATGAATTCCTTATTTGTAAATTTAGAATAAATTACCTTTCTAGGTCGTGCACTAAAACAAGATTATCATTACTGCCAGATAAAATTTTACGATTTGGTTTATCAAATGCTAAACAAAATATATTACTATTATGCTCAGTAAGGTGACAACGGGGAGTACCCAATCCAGCCAGTGATTTCTCTATATCCCATATAAGGACACGTCTGTCATCGCCACCTGCAAGCAATATTTAGTGAATTCGTATTCAACATCTACAAGCACAAAAGTTTTTTGGTTTACCAGAAGCGAGAAATTTGCTATCACCATTGGAGAACTCCAGAGCATTTACACAACCGTAATGTGCCACCAAATCAGTTTTGTACAAATTTTTAGCAACGCTAAAACGGGAACGATACAAATTGGACATAAAGTCCTGCGGAATATTGCCATTTTCGATGTTGTTCTCACGTTTCAATAATTGATGTGAAATATTGTTACTACCAGAGGCCCAAGTTCTCATTATTGTCAACGTTTCGAATTAATTAACTAGGCGATTAAATTTCTTTAAATACAGACTTGCAGATATCAAGAAATAAATATCAAGTTTCACTTTTTTTTACCTGTCATATATAAAGAAATGCATGTTAACTGAAAAAATAACAACTAAATCTTTTAATTTTACTCACAGCTATCCTTTTTATATTTAAAACTTTGTTTTTTCAAAAAACTGCATCCTACGGTCGGAATAAGAAAATCGGAAACCGAACGTGACATTCAAATCCGTGTAACATAAATTTTTATCAACATTTTTTTTACAATATGAATTTCGCTTCTTATTTCGTTATGATAACAAATTTATTAAAAAATAATTACTTATTTATTATTTGAAATTTATGCCTTTTTTTTTAAATGTTTAAAACAATGAGAAAGTTTATCCCAAAGCAATGAGAAATGTCTTAGCCAAACCAACTTTACTTCACTAGTGGGTAGCTGCAGTCGAAATGCAGCTTAATTATCGCAAAGGCAACGAAATAAGTACCTAATTTTTATTGAATACAGGGTCTGTAATTGACATTTGAATTAGAATTGCAATTGGGAACAGAACTCATACTAAGTTAGTTGCGCTCGTTATACACAATTTGTAAAATAATTTTTTCAATCACTAAGTATTATTAGGTTATTAGTAATCATTATTAGTAATTATTATTAGTATTAAGTATTAGTAATTATTATTAGTATATTCGTAAAATGGAGTGATGAATTTACAGTGCTTTTGCAATATGATATTAAAAAACCATATTGTATAGAGGAGCAAAAGATTTATTTGAAAAATATAGATTTTAATATCTCAGGCAAATAATGGAGAATGTAATAAATCATTCTAAATCGTGAAAATCTTGAAAATCGTGAACATACCTTATCAATTTAATTACTCAAAAAAAATTTCCATACTTATAACCAAATATTTTTTTCTGCGTTTAAATACGTTGCTATGGAATCTTAATATACAAAATTAACATTTAATTTTTAAATATTCATATACTATTATTTATTTTATTTGTATACAAAGAAATATATTTTATATTAACTTTTTGTTTCTTCAACGTCTACACTTGCTAGAATATGGCAAGAAAAGTAAAATGTACTATCCAGGTACATGTAACAAGTTGTAAAAAGACACAACTAATTTACAGTAATGTAAAAATTTGTAACGTAATTTGTGTGTACTTCACTACGCTATACCTATGTTTTTCAGCCCACTGTTTAAAGTCTTGAACACTTCTGAGCATGAGAAGAAATAAACGTATAATCCAATAAAAAGTTTTATAACTCTTAGAGATCTCAGTTTATAAATAAACACCTATCTAAATTTGCTTTCAACAGATTACATACTCAATTTCAATACATGTATGTATATATACAATCACAATTTTTAGAAACAAAATGCAATAAAAATTACAAAATTAACTTTCATCAAAAATTTAGTTTATTTTTTGGTTTATACACAAGTTAAAAAAGTAAAAGCTACACCCTGCATGCATAAAAGGTAAATTCAACAAAAGAGAAGACAGCTGATTTTTTGTTTACATCGTACCAAACAGCTGTGCCGACTTGTAGTAATTAAAAAAAACATAAGTGAGAGGCAGCACACACTTAAAGCTACCTAATGTATACATACTATTAATTATTTAATACTACACAGCAAATAATACTTGTGTAAGAAAAGAAAATCTTTGCTCTCTCAGAATAACGTGAGAAATTGTTACCCAAAATTCATTTTTTATAACAA